TACATATTGCTGCTGGTTGTTGTTAAGTGCTGTCACTGTATAGGGTTTCTGAGGAGCAGCTGCTGGGTTTGAACTACTAACCTGTGGTTCAAACTGACCTTGCTGTCCAGTGCATTATCCTGCAGCACCACTCCAGGACTCCTTAATTGGCTTTAAAGAATATTCTTTCCATTAAGATTTATAGATATTATTTTACTTTCTTCTTATATTAAGTTCCATTCTAAAGAACTTTGAGCTTACTCTGATTGCTTTCCCTTGTATATCTTGTTGTTTTTAAACCCTTTGACTCAATGTTCTTTCCTTATTCTGGAAAACCTTTCTCCCACTAGAACAGAAGCTTCAGGATAATTGATTTCTTTATCTGCATTATCTATTACTGTATCCCTGGTGCCATGAACATGGACTGGCTCATTAGTTGGCATCAATAAATGTTTCCTGAATAAATAAGTATCAACCTGTTAGCTCATTATTCAGTATCAACCTGTTAGCTAATTACTCAAAATAATCCGTGTGAATACTACAGAAAGTATATGATGTAATGTTGATAGAATAATAGTACATGAAATCATGCATGCACTATGACTAAAATGATGTGAAAATGTGTCTGCAAATGGAAGGTCTGAAGAATAATATACAAACAAAAACAAACTATGTAAAAAATTGATTATGCATTACATTTCTGATGTTCTGAGGTATTAAAAATTGCCTACTGTTCTTAACCTTTTACCAATCCCTGAATTAATAACATTTTTAAAGGAAATAATTCAATTTATCTTATTTGATACCATGATACCAAGTGGTTTAAACTCCTTTAGGGAAGATACTAGGAATCCTGGTGTGGTGCTGTGGGTTAATGCGCTAGACTGCAAAGTTGACTTAGACCACAAGGTCGGTGGTTCAAGTTCACCAGCTGCTCCTCAGAAACCCTACACAGGGTCATTATGAATTGGAACCAATTTGATGGTACTTAACAACAACAACAAAGGAAGGTACTGTGACTTTGTCTTTTATTTTTGTCCAATATTGTGTCTCCAGCAAGAATAGAAACTTGTCTCATTGTAGGCCCCCCAAATCTCAGGCAATTTGGAGAAACTGCAGGCACTAGATATTTGTGACTTAATTCACATAAATTTAGTTCTTTAAGTTCCATTTCATGGTGGTATTGCTAAAGCAATCATCTGCTTGTATGTCTTCAGAAAGCAAACACTTTTTTATTGTTTTGTTACAAAGTCAAGGTTGATCAGAGTTAGTATTAACAGAGCACAAGTGTGTCACCACAGAACATGTTAAACTGGTTTCTAAAGCTTAGGCTCTTCTATTAGAGCTTATTTGAAATAACAGAAGCTTTACCTTTCCTCTTTAGACTATTTTTAAACTCAATTATGCTAAAATGCCATTTCCTGTTGACTGAAAAGTCACAACTGGGTGAATGATGTCTACCACACCTTTGGATAGGGTATGAAGACTACTGTGTGGAGCAAGGCGGATGATCATGTATTGATTTCTCAATGTTAAATTCAAAGAAATGTATCCAAACAAGATGTCAGGGCAATCTGATGGGCTACATATCTTAGTTCCAGCATGCTTGTGCCAGAGAGGTTTTGTTACAGTTTAATGAAAATTATTGAATGACGCAGAAAGCATCAAAAGAAGATGGAAGGAATACACAGAGTCACTGTACCAAAAGGAAATGGTTGATGTTCAACCCTTTCAAGAGGTAGCATATGATTAAGATCTAATGATACTGAAGGAAGAAGTCCATGATGCATTGAAGGAATTGGCAAAGAACAAAGCACCAGGAATTGACGGAATGCAAATTGAAATCTTTCAACAAAGTGAAGTGGCACTGGAGGCACTCACTCGTCTATGCCAAGAAATTTGGAAAGCAACTGCCTGGCCAACTGATTGTAAGAGATCCATATTTGTGCCCATT